CTCAACAGTGTACAGTCCAGTGACCACCAACTGGCGGCCCGCGGGCCACATCCGGCCCGCACGATGGGGGTGACTGTGGCGTTGGCGGAGTGGTTACTGCGTTCGCCTCCCACCCATTTTTTTCTTTTACAACGTCTCGTGAGTACGGTGCAGTACCGGAGTCCAACAGAGAGGCAGCAGCTGCGGGTCAGTAGACTGCGTACTGCGAAACCTTCCCTGCCTTGAAGAAGAATTAATCCTTGTTGTGAAGAGTCTGGTTAATGCGCTCCGCACCACAGCAGTAGTCGAGCTGCGACAGAGTCCAACAGAGAGGCAGGAGCTAGGGGTGGGCGGATCGATCCCAAAATATCGATACTTCCGATATTACGTTACGTTTTAAAATATTAATACTAGAGCCAATAGGATCGATACTTTTATACTTTTTTTCCCGTCTCCTCTACTCGTCAATTTCTTCAAAAAACTATGTGCAGACGAACACAAGTATATGCTCTTTTCTTCTCTCTCTACTGCTGTCCTCCTCTCCTCGAGGCTCGCGCACGCGCAGCGCGCTCCCTGCCTGAACGCCGATTATCAAGCTGACTGACAGCAGCCGGCAGGGCAGGACAGCAGCAGCCAGCGACTCGCGAGTGCAACACACACACGCGCATGATGGCTGAGAGAAAGAGGAGCGTTGTGTGGAACAATTTCACAACTGGCAATTAAAACTTAGCGAACTGTGCTAAGAAGACAGTTCGCTACTCTGGCCACTTTGTATTGTTATTTTTCATGTTTGCACTTTAAATTTGCAAAAGTAAAATGTTTATTTGTCTATAAAAACTGTCCTGTCTTTATTCATGAAAATGAATTCAGATTTAGTCTATTTATGATGCTTTCAGCTCAAAAATCATGTCATTCAGCTCCCCCCTGTACATAAGACGCTTTTCATTTAAAAAAGTATCGGTATCGATATCGGTATCGGCGATACTGGCCCTGAAATACTTGGTATCGGATCGAATCCAGATTTTGTGGTATCGCCCGAAGCCGTAGTACTGTAAAAAGCACGACCAATCATTTTAGCCGGCCCGGCTAAAGTAACTGGATGGCCTACCTCAAAAAAGTGGTCCAGTGAACGGAGATGACGTAACTCTCAGTCTATATGGCGCTGGCCTACCTGCCTGTCAGCCTTCCATCTGTGCACAAATTTATATCGTGCCCTCATTGGTCATGTGCGCGTTCGTGTGTGTTGGAGGAGGGGCTCTGTAAGGAAGTGGCAGATTTTTTCCGGCTGTGTATTTTCAAATTCTAGCGCATTCGAGCTGGTTTCTCCAAAATTACCTACCCACCTTTAGTAGTACCAGCATATGGATAATCTATAATGTGACTTGATATGAGATTAAACAGGAAGACAATGTGTTACACATTCAGCTTCTTCATGTCTGCTCATTACGTTGTTGATAAAGCTGTTTGATGAACAAAGTGGACATACAGTATTTGTGTTTCCGCTTTTACATTTCCTTACTTCTCCCTTTTTCGATTTAATACTGAACCCCAATTTAACCAAATCCAGAAGCGTTTTAAAATAAGACTTGTCTAACACTTGTATTGGTCTGTAAACTCCAGTCAAATATCTGAGCTGCCTGATTGTTAATGTAGCTTTGTTCTGTCTGCGTTTTGTTGAACAATGTCCTTATTCAAAAAGAACAAATGTCAGAGTCAGTTGTTTCTAAAGATCATCTGCCTTCTCAACTTCTCTGCAGTTTTCAAGTCTATTTGAAAAAAATGCAGTGTCTTTATTTGTTAGATTCAGGCCTTTATAATGTGCTTGTAAAACCTTTTGATAGATAATGTTGATTGACCTCCATAATGCGAAAGTCCCTTCATATAGTCATGTACATAGATCTATTGTAGCAGGGTGAAATGGCTCTAAACTACTGTTAATATACAAATGAACAATCCCAATATTTCAAATAATCTTCCTTCATGAAAGAATAAGCAACACATTATTTTTGTTTATGTATAGGCTAGCGGTAAAAGGATCCTTCTTTATTTGGAGCCATTTACTAAACATTTTTTGTGTGTTAATTGTTGGCGCTCTCAGCAGAGGCGTGTTTGTTTTACGGCCTCTTAAAGTGCCTCGTAATATTATAGCCTTGTGTGTGTCATTAGCTGTGTGAAGTTTAAGGTCTTTAATGGGGACCCAAGCACCTGTAGTCAGAGTCTGCAATAAAGAGTTCCCATGGGAAAAGGCACCAGATACAAATTCAATAAAAATAAAACAATATTACTAAAATATTGTATCTGCCACCTGGTAGCCTTTAGTGGCATGAAACATTTTTGAAAGCCAGTGAATCATTTCAGTAATGTCAAAATTCAAGGTGATGTTTTTCATTTAATGTTTTACTTTGTATTTTAGCAGTTTATTGCAGATTATTTGACTCGACTCAGTCATTTGAAAACTGTATTTATACCTAATAAATATATGCATGGCTAGGTAAATACTCATTGCATTGTTATTCATGTTTGTAGGCTCCACTCATGTCTCTTCACCTCCATGCTCCATCATCATCTCTCTGGCTCATGCTGTGTTTCCTGCTCAGTGTCTTCCTGCTGCTTTCCCCAGGGGTCTATGGCCAAGGTAAAGTGCTTTCATCACAAATATAACTTCTTATTACTACAAATATTCACATTCACAGCTAGAGAGGATGGTGAAGTCTACCAAAAGATCTGTGTTTTGTTGTTGTATCATTTAGCTAGCAGCAACTGCATTAGGCTAACGTTATCATTGCTAAAATGATAGTCCTGACATGAAAAATAACCTATAATGGCATTTTGGTCTTCTATCTTATAAACAACCATGTACCACTATTTCTTTTTGAGGAAGGACGTAGTCAGACCCGGCGCCAGAACAAATCTAAAGGGAGGGCATATGATGTTCATGGGAGGGCACACAAAACCGTCATGTTCTGCGAGCCTGCGGCACAATATATAACAGCAAGGCCAACAGCATGGCGCAAAGACGCACACTTATCGCAAATACATACACAAATAAAGGGCAACATAGAAACCACTTTTGAAACATTGTGTGCATGGCAGCACAAACACTGGTAAATCACCAGCAAGGCAAACTGGTGAAGGGTGGCAGCTTCTTCATCGTTGCACTCGGAAAGAAATAGTAGAGACGGAGACGATGAACTGTTTAGCCCACCTTGGGCATGGTTTATTTCTATGCACTGCACTCGGACATGTGGAGTGAATTGTGGTCACCTCTGCGAGGGAGTTGGTTGACAGCTAAAAAAGCTATAATATTAACGACAGCTGACACGTAATAACGGTTCCGTGCCAGCTGATCTGCACCAAAGTACTCATTTCCTTATTTGTTTCCTGGCGTATCTGTCTCTCTCTCCACAAACTCTCACATGAAATGTGTTCTTTTGATGCGGCATGCCTTAGCAGTCCTTTATCAGTCTGTAATGCGTGTTTCCAGTCGCAAAAACCTTTGACAGTAAAAGCCGCATCAGATGAAGACGTATTTACTTTAAACTGTCTACAGGGGAAGCAAAAGGCTGCGTCTGCTTTTAACGAATATTCAAGCCATGGTCTGTTGTTGTACCATGCAGTGGCAAAAGGGTACTTCTTTCCTGAAAACAATCTCCCTGGATAACGATCCAGTTTCACCTGGTTGGGTTTATTAACCCCAAGATCATCTGGGGCTGTTGGTCTTTAAGCGGTTGCTGGCCCAATAGTACCTGTTGATGTGCTGCAAGGTAGCGTCTGTAGTGGAGGCACCGGCACGGAGGAGGAGGAGGATGCTGGCGGGTGTGGTACAGGGTGTGGCAACGTAGGTGGTGATGGTAGGGGCACAAGGAGCTGTGCCCCGGAGGACAGCGTTGGTTTTTATAAATAATAAAAATCGTGTTTATTGGGGGAGGGCAGGAATGTCAAATGGGAGGGCCTGGCCGGGCATGACTCTCTGTGATAAGTTTCTTAAAGTATCTGCACTTAGGCTAGCCCACACTAATGCTACCCCAGATCCTGCTCCTTTTCTATGCCCTGCTGTCCTCGACCACTTTAAACCTGTATCCCTCTCTTCTCTCTCGGATGTATAGCACCTGCGGCCGACAAACTGCACCTTAGACAGCATTCCCTCACGCCTTCTCAGAGATGTTTTCAAATCAGTTGAAGCAAGTATTTTATTACTAATAAACACCTCTCTTAGCTCAGGATGTGTCCCAGCCATGGGCGTATGAAGCATCCTGAATGTGGGGGGGACATTTTTAACGGGGGGTTTGGGGATCCCCCCCCACGAAAAAAAAAATTGATTTCCTGTATTCTGGTGCATTTTAACAGGTGGTTAGATACTAGCATGAGGGAAATTATGGGTACATTTTGTAATTTCATCCAGTAGTAAAGAAAGGAAACATATTTGATTATTAATTCAGAGCCGTCTTTGAACTAATAAAAAGCAGTTTAAATGCCCTTTTTTTGTACATTTATACATTGTGTGTGCATTGAGAGATATTGTTGTGGAGAGTCATTTATATATAAATTGCAAAATACAAAATACATTTGTGAATCCTTCTGTGAGCATTTATTAATATTGAGACTGATCTGACTCCATACAGATGTTAAGTTCACCTAGGAATGGTATCATTGATTTAAATGTTCAAATAAATGTTGCCCTTCTGTCTATATTGGTCATATGATGCCCCTTGACTGAAATGTTTCCTGTTCAATATCCCCACTGATTTCCTTAAAATTCTGGGATGAGAGTCCACATCACAATTTACTCTAAACTGTCATTTCCCTTTCATCACTCACCTCAGCAATGGACCTCTCTCCACTGTCCCTGTGTTCTGTCTCTGACTCACTCTCAAGCGCCTAGATGTCAAGAGAGGTGGTGAAGTGATAATTATTCATTGAGCAGTATACTCTTTCACATTGAATCATAACAAGTCATACTGAATGTAAATACAACTGACTCTAAAGTAAGTCCCAGTCTGTGACATTGGACATTTTGAAGACTCAAAGTCCCAAGCAGTAGGTAGAATGTTAGCTAGTCTATGTAATGTGCACAGAACATAAATAGTTAACTGAATACTAGGATGGTGGAATGAGCTCCCCATTGAAATCAGGACAGCAGAAAGCTTACACATCTTCCGACGCAGACTGAAAACTAATCTTTTCGATCAGTTTCGAGCGATAAGGAATTATTACAAAGCACTTATATACGAATAAAGGACTGGTGTATCTAAAAGCCAGTTTGAAGTAGCAGTTGAAATGGTTTTAGCTCTACTGAAACCTGGAGTAGCCGTTATATCGATTCCTGTTTTCTTCAAGTTTGATATTTTGTTGGTGCGAGACGCACCTTATTGTCAAGCCGCTTTGGAATAAAAGCGTCCAAGCTAAAATGCAATGGTAATGTAATGTAAATTGGGGATGGAAATGGCTAATAACGCACTCAGTAAAAAAGCAATAAACACCACAAAAAGCTTCTGAATGAGGTAAGAAGTATAATTAAAACATAATGGGCACATTACGCATTTTTGAGAGAGATCAGCCAAGAGTTTAAAGAAAGCTCCAGAAAATAATCTCTTAATCGAACCTGAGGCTCCAAAGTAAACACACTGACTGCGCTCTCTTACATGGAGCATGCATGGTGTTTACCATGAGGCCACAGAGAGTAAACTGGCATTTTCGATGCTTTTCTGCATCTAAACTTATTCAGTATTTGTATCCTCTCTTTCATGACATACAAGACGCGAAACTGCAAGAGTGAGAGCGCTTTTAGGCCACCCGGCCATCACGTTAAGCTGATTAACTGCCCTACCAGCCTGAAGAGCTTACTTTGCCTCTTTCTTTGAAAAAAATGTTCGTTATGTCCATCGTTGCCCTGGGGGACGAAACATACTCATACACCAAGAGATCCGGTCAGCTTTGATTTTTGGGCCTGTATTAACCAATGTCCTGAACAGGGCCCGCGTATCCACCATTGAGCCCGTCACCAGAGGTCCGGACCCGAGCTGTGTATATACAAAACGGAGATGGAATTGCAGCTAAAACGGGGGTATTTTGTAGAACTTCCATTTACTGCCGATGGGGTGCGCTGGCATAACTAACGTAGCCTCCGATTAAAGGCAACAGAAGAAGTACGACATGTATCCGTCTAGAGAGGCGAAGTCCCTCCGCCTTTGCCGGGAGCCTCATGGGCAACACACTCTCACTCCATAAGATCGTCCACAGCAGAGGCACGTTTGGTCAGGGTCCCGGTGGCGTGGCAGTTGTGACGCTCCCTAGGCCCTCCCCTTCAGCTTCATAAGGGACCGCAAAATAGCCTTTCAACCTGATTGCACGATGGTAATTCCTATCTGCCTGCGGGATTTGAACGCCCTGCATCCGGAAGCAAGATTTGTTTGATGTCGGCTGCCCTTAAAGGTAATGTGAGCGTGCGCATTCGCGCATTTCGGATTAAGCGGAAGATTGTAGGCACCGCGGAAGTGAAGTATTCCCCTTACTGTCTATTGATGCTTAATTAGCACAACATTCGATTGGTTTAAATTGTGTGCAATGCTTTTGTATTTTTCCTTCGAGTTCCCGGCAGAAACAAATATTTTTTCCGGAGTAAACAGATGCGGCAGAGAGATCACTACCCGACCCAGAAATGCCGCCGCAGCTATCCGTTTAGGACTACACCATCTGGCCGTCCTGTTTGCAAACCCCATTCATGCCTCGCAGATGGCCTGGCCGTCTATGATCCACGTGATCCTTCCATTTCTGCGCCTGCAGAAAAAAAAAAAAAAACATGGGCGCCGAACTGGTCGTTTTATTCTCGTGGACAAATGCCTATTTTCATCCAAGTGTAGTTTTGGCGCATTAAAATGCGTTTTGATGTCATTTGATGCGAGAAAATATGGTTGTTATTTCAGATTATGTTGCAGTGGAATGTAGCATGATCTTTAGTTTGGCCTAGTTATGTCAAAGATTGACTTTCAGGAAATTCTGCGTCCATAAAACGTTTTCATTGTTACCAAGCGGTGGTTGGCTAGGATCGCTGCTATCGATATTATTTTCATGTTATCCGTTGTGTAACTGTTAATGGTGTTATCTTTAATTGTTACCCCCTTTCCCCTACGATGTATATGTTGGTCCACAGCGAAAACATATTAGTTTCAACAAAAATCCGCATCTGAAAGATACGTTGATTCGCTTCGCGGCCTGTGTAAAAAATTTCCGTCTCAGCATCTCACATCACCATTCTCGGGCCAATTCAAACAAAATACCGGAAACAGACCGCGGAACATTTACAAAAAGAAATAAAATAATACTTTATTACGGGCCGAGTGTCGCTTGCCTTCTTCTCTTTGAAAGTCATGCACATAGCGGCATTGTAATACACGGTTTCGGACTGCATTAAATATTGAAGCAATATCTGCCGTAGTTCTCTATTTATAGAGCCCTGATGAGAAGACTTCTACGACAACATGAGGAACTACCAACATGAAACAACTGAACATCGGACGGTGGAATCCATAAATATACTCAGGGACAATTAACCAACATCCTTACCATTTATTTTCAACACACACGTCTCTTTGCCAGAGGATCCAACACTAATTCGGCCCTGACTTTTATATTTGACCGCAATTGGTAGTTATAGGCTGTATTTACCACGCCATAAAGTACTGCAGCCAGCTGATAGAAAGGGAGCACCTTGGTGGTTCAAAGCATGGTTATTGAATTTCCATTATTTGTATTATTAGATCAGGTTGAAATAGGCCCATCCCTAAAATAAAGTTATATTCATTCTCGTTATTCTCTAAATAGTGCTAATAAAGAGCTGTATACTACGAGACGCTATTTTGCACATCCCTTTCAAGATTTCCAAGATTTTCCAAAGGTTTATTGACATATATACACAGACGGTGTAGTTAAATGCATGAAATGAAAACTTGGGTCGCCAGGTTCTCAAAAATAGTGGCATTACAAGACATTTATCAAATATGTTGTGGCAATACGCTCCAGGCGATGTTAACTATGTTGAAGGCATTATTTTAAGACTGATATTTACTATGTATTATACTAATAGGAATGGTATATGACGAATATCTTGATCTCGCGGCCTTCGTCACGGGTATGAACAATCAGTAAATAAAGAACACAGAATTATGTAAATTATAAAACCAACAGAATTTGTGTGATTATACTAAATGATTGTACAATAACAACACGCCACTGCATAATTACAACTAGTTACACAGTGNCTAGTAAGACACACAGCGATGTTGATGGAGGAGGATGCTGGCGGGTGTGGTACAGGGTGTGTGGCAACGCAGGTGGTGATGGTAGGTGCACAAGGAGCTGTGCCTCGGAGGACAGCGTTGGTTTTTATAAATAATAAAAATCGTGTTTATTGGGGGAGGGCAGGAATGTCAAATGGGAGGGCCGGGCATGGACGTAGCCCACAGCTTTTTTTTGTAAAGATAAAGACTACTTGAGATGCTAGCTAGTTAGTTATTTGCACATGTTTTAACAACTCAGTTTAGCATACACAATGTCTTACAATCTCACACACTTATTGTAAGATGTTGTGAAATTGCATAGTTTAGGGAAAAACTTAATTTTTTTTTGACAAAAATTGCTAGCTTGTTAGCTAACTGTATCCTCTTACCATTAATGTAAGCATAAATGATGTCATAACATCTTACATAAAACAATCATTTTATGTATATTATTACAATAATCCACATTTGATATGTCATATTCTTCACCTTAATAGTTTATATATGATGATTACTATTATGTTGCATCACGCCATAACGCAGGTTTTTACCTGCATTTTTAATTACGGCAACTACGTTTTCATTAGACTCTAAGAAAACAAGGATACTGTGAGCTCATGTCCGTCACATTCTCATGACCACAATATCTAAGGAACGGAATTAAGAGGTCAAAGGTCATAAAACGCTTGTTTGGGTATAACTCAATGATACGTCTGCTAAACATGAAAAGTGAACAGAAATGTATAACAGGATAAAAAGTGCAATTGGATAAATTGATAAAGAGAAATGTATGAAAACTGCAACTTGAATGGTTGGCATTCATTAATCAGGCTATAATTAAAATAAAGTTTCTACTGCTGGTTTATAAGAACAGTATATCACAGTGTGGTGCTTTTCAATCATTATGACATGTTTTTAAGAATGTTCTATTTATTCATGGTTACTACATTTCATTAAAAGGAGCAATTGGCCTCAAACGTCAAATTATTTCAATGCTGAACTAAAGAATGATGGCTGCAACCAGCTACTCGTACCCCACCCATCAGGAATTACAACACTGCTACTCTACTTGCCTGCATATCTGCCCGCCTGTGTGGAGAAGTTGTTGTTGTAAGTGGGTCTGTTAGACCTTGACCCCAGTCAGTAAAACTCCCACCAGACCCTTTCTGATCTTCTGCCAGGCTCCCAAGAAGATGAGGATCCTCTAGAGGCCCCTGGCTCAAATACACACACACACACACACACACACACACACACACACACACACACACACACACACACACACACACACACACACACACACACACACACACACACACACACACACACATGCTATTCAGAAAAGAATGTGTTGAGTGTTGAGGGTCATACGTCCACAGAAGCGATGAAGACACAGTTCTGTGATTCATGCTGTTCAAGTCTACACTCCTCTTGTCTTCTTTGCTTCCGTTTCCCCGTCCCCCCTCATGTTCTTGTCCATCTATTGCCCTGCCACATAGTACATAGAAAAGCCTGACACACTGTAACTCTGTGCTGTGCCTCTGACATGACCGTTGACCCTCCAGTCTCCAACCAGCGTCCTGTTCCTGTTTCTACAGCAGACGGGAGGACAGGGCATGCTTTGATGGATGAGAGGCCAGCTGGAGAGAGGGATGGATGGAGGGCGGGAGGATAGAAACATGAAAGACGCTGCTTGTTAGGAAGCCCCTGCTGGAAATTATGTAGATGAAGTCGAAACAAGACACAGATTTGATTTAGGGAGAAGGAAGCGAGAGGGGTTAGGCCGTCTTAGAACGGAAGCTTCGCAGCTTGTTTCTTTGATCTTTGAAAAATCTGCAACTGTCGCTTCCTCTTTTTTTTCATTTTGTTGTTGTCTCCCTTTGTCTCTTGGACTTTAAAGGTCGTCTTAAGCTGACGGTCCTGTCTGAGGACAGACTGCAGATGAAATGGAAGGAGGCCGACGGACCTGTTCAGGGCTACAAAGTCAGAGTGAAACCCATCTCAGGTAAGACTTCCTCGGCTCTTAAAAAAATACATATTTGTCTCATGTCCTTTAATTCCACTTACGGGAAAGGGATGCATGCTTCCATTTTTGGGGGAAGACCCTTCCTATGTCAGCCTCACTATGACACTGGGTACAAAGTGAAAAAATAACTCTTCATACTTATACCTGCAAAAATAAAGCACTCTGAATTTTAAATAACCAGCATTATCAATTTACTTTATATAACACGCATTCTCGAGTGTGCAGAGGTGCCCATGAGGAGGTCATGTGAAATGGTTTTAAGAGAAGTCAGGAAGTCTCTAGGAATGATCAAACAAACATAGCACTTTTACCCAGGTGACAAGTGTTTGTGTCCCGTGTGAAAACCATAATCCATTTTTTAAATGTTATTCCAAAAGAAGAAATCGTACAAATAGTTTGAAGAAACATGTGTTGATGAACTTGACAGGCCCTCACAGAGCTCTGACCTTAACCCCATCCAACACCTCCAAGATTAACTTGAATGTCAAGTTTTGGCCAGGCTTTATCACACAACATCAGTGGGCAACCTCACCAATGGTCCTGTGGCTGAATGTGAATGGAAGGGACTGAGGTAATTGATCAAAACAAATATTTTTGTTGATTGTTGGCCTCAGTATAGACTACTTTCAACCAAATAGCCTGATAGCTTTAAAACTATTTTGATTTTCATGATTGAAACACTTGGTCCTGTCATGATACAATATTCAGACTGCAAGTGTTAGTTGTACATTTTCTGGAAAAACAACTAGAATACATAAGAAACAAACACTAACAAAGCATGCATTGGTTGTAAAGGGAGTAGTGAATGAGGAAGTGATTTCACACAGCCTTTGATTCTCCTGCTTTGGAATCCCGCTTGCCATCAGAAGCATCTGCCTCTGGCTCTGCTTATACAAAGGAAAGATAAGAAAGGGCTAAAGGCAGCATTACAACATCAGATAACATACTTTGTTTGTTGTTTAGCTTCAAAAAGCAAAATAACCCTTCACCTTCCGGTAAAAAAAAGGGTTTCAACTTCTGGGAAATCTGTTTGGTTAAAATACACTTTATTCTTTCATGTGAAATACCAAGAGATGTCATTAATGTATTTACAGAATCCAAAAAGGTATTAGCAGGAAAAGCCAATAATCTGATCCTACACTTTGTGAACCAGCACAGTCCCTTGATTTCCTCTTCTCTTGTGTGCACATGTCATGTGGTGTGAAAGCCTTTGCTCTCCCTGTAGTCCAGACTGCTGTGAATTGTTCAGCTCTGTTGCTTCCCAGGTGATGGTTTGGATAAGAAGGCAGCTCCTATCCTCACCTCCACCTTCACATCTGTGATTCTTAACTTCATCTTTAACATTGATTTCTCTCTGTCACCCTCTTATCTGCCATTCCTCTCTGTGCAGCTGAGTCCAGGCATGTCTCAAAGAAGGAAAGGACACAGGGGGGGGGGGGCTTAGAGAAATAATTCAGTCAACGGGAGACTTAAGGTGTTGGGTCTGGGAGAGGGGGGCAGTACGAGGATGAAAAGGTGGTGTAGATGTGATACACAACAATACTGGTTTTGAAAAAGTCTTGAAGTGTAATTAAACTATTACATTTCACTTGTTGAAACCTGCAGGACCTGCCCCAGACATCCAGGGCCAGTAGACCGTGGCCTTCAGTACTTTATTACTTATCACCTGATATTGTTTTAAAAGAAGATGTTGTGTTCAAATATGTTGAAACATTTAGTCTAAAGTGTGACAAATAATATAAGAGCAAGTAGACAACTGAAGCAATTATTGTAATTATTGTATCATAAAAACATTTGGAAATGCAGGGAACATAATAACAAACATAAATAAGAAGAGGTTAAAGGATACACTTTTAAGGTCATATCAAAAATAAACTTGCAGGACTTTAATAAAGTGGTTAAACATCTTTCTAACCCACTAACAATAAGAATGGGGACTAGCCAGGTGTGCTGCTTTATTCCTCTACCTACGCTGACTCAGATCAAATCCTTACATTTGCTGATGATTCAGTGTTTTGGTAATTAACAAATGATGAATCAGCATACAGGAGGAAGTTGTCTGATCTTGTAAGACGTTGCAGCAATGATAGCCTTTAGCTTTGTTTTGGAAAAAGAATATCATAGACTTCAGAAGAGGGAAATATGGGAAACTACCACTATAAATGGTCTGGTAACCAATAGCAAATATGAAAGCATTTACATTTCCTTGATCCTAAATGAGAAAGCTATCTTTGTAAAACCTTAAAGATGGCTCATCGGAGATTATATTAACAATAAGTCTGGCTTCCTAAAAATACTTGGGACATTTTGTAAGAGATTACATTCCTGAGGCTATTGGACTCTTGAATGTAAAACCTTCAGCCCTTATGTTGTGATTTTGATATTTTTACATTATTCGTGTCTTTATTGTAAACCTCTGACACTTTAAGAGTTTTCTGTGTATCTTTTATATTTATGAAATTCTATGTATTTCCATCTGTTTTATGTGTTTAACGCTGCATGCTTCGTTGATTGTTGTCTTGTCTATTCTGCAATGAGTAGGCAAGTTCTCACTTTCCCTTTAGACTTAATGCCATACAGTCATTTCTCAACTCTGTCTCTCGCCTCTTACAGAGGTGCCACAGCCGGAGCTGATGCTGACCACCACACGGGGCCGGGCCACGGTGGCAGGACTGGACTCCAGTCAGGAATACGCCCTCCAAGTCCTCGTGCTCAATGGGACGACAGAGAGGCTTCTCGCAAAGCGCAGATTCACTAGTAAGACACACAGCGATGTTGATGAGAGTAGTTTGTTGAATAGGGTGGATGGAGGGAGGTTTATGAACACAAAAGCAGTTCTTGAATTGGGCCTGTACTCACCGGTACGCAGTACCGGGACTTCTAATTTTTAACCATCTGGTACCGTTACTTCTTACTGAGTACCGGCACGGTGCCGGTACGGCGGTACTCAGTAGGCCTACTCAGTAGATGCGTCATGAGGTGCCGCCGCCGCTTTGCCCGCCTCGCCCCCGGAGCAGCAGTCTTCGTCGCACCAAACACCGCCAACCCTCGGCCAGAGGACCTCGGCAAAACAGAGGCTGCCCAGGTATATTTAAACAAGTTCCCAACTCGCCTGTACAGTGGGGTAAGGCGCTCATTTAGCAGCTCATGGTTTAAAAACAGAGATTGGCTGGAATTTCCTGTAAAAAAGATGCCATCTTCTGCTATGCATGTAGACATTTCAGTTCAAATATATCTAACTCAGATGCCTTCACCACAATTGTACCAGAGTACCAAACGCTGTCTCCTGGTACTCATCTGAGTAACTCACTAAAAAAGAAATAGCTAGGCCTACTATATGACATTAAAACAAGAATACAGTTTAAAAGGGGAGTGATTTGTAAAATATCCATAAAGAAAAAGAAAATCTGATTACAGTTCTGTTTCAAATGGGTGTTGAGAGATGTATCCGTTGCTCTCAAAGTGCACCAGATTGATGCTTTTAGCTTCAATATTTAAAAAGAAAATCTTGTGTTAGATCCACTCCCCACTTATAAAAATAGCACTTTACCACTGCACCCCCTTTAATCTCAGATGCACCCTGAGTCATTTTGTTTAAGTACAGTGAGCCTTTCTAAAATATACAGTAAAGAGACAAACCCACCAGCATTATAGGATATACTATGACTTTGAGCCAAATTCTTGTTTTTGGGCTGTATAAATAAATTGACTTGAAACAGTTGCTGATTTAGAGTACTGGCACCTTTTTTATTCCAATTCAAGCACTGCACAAAAGGAACAAAGACCTGAGACAGTGTGGGTAAATGGCACTAGGATATCGCAGTACACCTTTCAACCACAGCACAGTGAGAGGCTCATCTGAGCTAGCTAACATTACAGCAATCTTGTTATTTACATCTCTCTCCATGCAGAGTTGCACACTTCCTTCTGGACGGTGATACATGATCATCTAGGCCGGTTTCTTTACTTGAAATATGTCCAACCTGCCGCACCTCACCAAAATAATTTAGATTGCTAAACAGCACTACGGGTAAAAGAAAAATAGGTGTGGGTTTTGGGGTAAACTGTCCCTTAAAGCGGTGTTAACTTTGCCGTTAAAAAGTCCATTATGGATATGCATGTTATGCACTATCACTTCTCTATGTACAAGTGGTTTTAAAATACAGTACAGTTTGGTGCTAGTAGCTTAGCCTTTTTACTTCAGATATCGGCGCAACACAATACATAGACATCTTGACATAACGTGAACACTGTAACCATTTCACTTTCGGTCAAAAGTACATTGACTTTGTAAATGTTGTAAACCAAAATTCTGTCCACATCTTACACAAACGTCTTTTTAAAATGGGATGTAAAAATCCACAGGCCTGATCCAATTTACAGTGTTAACAGGAGATGAAAGGGAATGGTGTTGACTTGGCTAGTGCTGTGAGATAACATTGGCAAGACAGCAAAGTCATACTAAAGGAAATGGTATTGACATTTCTTACATTCTTACACTTTATTGGAGTTTGCAGCGTTTTCTTCAAGGCCCCACCCCATGAGACACACACACACACACACACACACACACACACACACACACACACACACACACACACACACACACACACACACACACACACACACACACAGTGTAAAAATACTACTCTAGCTGGATCCCAGGCTGAAAGTGGGTACTGTTTGAAGTTGCTGTGTGTACTTACTTAAGTGCAGTCTGTTCCTGGGTTTTAAAATCCTCTTGGCCCAACAAAGGTATCCATAGCAGCAAAGTTGCCCTGGACAATAATGTGTGACTTTGTTTTTGACAATCATCATCAGAAGGGACTGGGAGAGGATGGAGACATATTGATAAAGCATCACCTTTATTTGACGGATTAGGATCTGCGTAGGAATTTGCATGAACTTGTGCACTTATTGTCCCTCAGGTTATTTAGACATCCCTGTCTCTGCCTTTAACACAGTTATTTCCTGCAGCAGTGACAATAAAACTCATCACAGCTCTCTGTCAGCTGATGGCCCTGATTTGTAAAACCCTTTTGACATTTTATTGTCAGACTCCCCTTGGCATTATATTCTAGCCTCTGATATTTGGATCCAGTCCGTGGTTGCTTTGAGTGATAGTAGGTTACTGTGTCGAGTGGAGCGTGTCCAGGCAAGTCTTGGAACATGTTAACTTGAACATTTGTAACACCGCCTGTCTCTCTGGAATGATGGCAGTCTGGGAATTCCTTCCTGATGCGTCGCGTTTCCCATTGGATTTAACCCCCTCCGGGCAAGTTTCCTTCCTTGAGAAATGTCCCCCTCAATTTGCTGTTGTTGACCTTGTCTCTTGACTCAAGGCACAGATCTGCCTACCCGACCTGGTGATGCATTTGAGCCAGAGGAGCGATAACATAACCAACAGCAAACATGTTTTGTCTTTTTTTTTACATCTCTGATCCTTAATGTGACAGAAACAGAACTTATTTACTCTATATCCTTTGTCAATTTTTTTGATCATTTTAGAAACAAAACATACAAAAATAATAATAATAATAATATATATATGTTCTTTTTTTTTTTTCTCACTCATAATAATAATTATAACAAAGTACAAAAAGAAAATAATAAAAAATAATAATAATAATTCTCTGGCAGTTTTTATGATCAAGTGCTGCTGTCACAATGTTGTGTTACTTTGTGACCAATGCAGACACACATGAGGATGTTTCATTAACAGTGATATACCAAGATAAAATACAATAATTTCCACATAGTAGAGGTTCTCTTTAAATCCTGCATTCAGAATGTATTATTAGCATTAGCCCAACCACTTCACCACTACCTCAAAAGAAAGTACTCATTAAACAACAGTCATACATAGAGTCAAACAATTACATTTTTTATTGTTGTATTTATTTGTAAGCAACACTTTGATTTTAAAGCTGTTAAATGTGTGCCTTTAAATACTTTACATACTGCTGGCAACCTTGTGAATTTTCCTCTGGAAAATGGATACATGAGAAGAATCACACATAATAAGTAAGTATTGTATTATTAATTTGATCTGCAACTATGAACTGAAATTGTCAATAGTGAGGTAAAAAAAATATACTCCCTGGCGTAACCTCTAAAAGTATTACAACTAGTAACAAATGTTGGATGGATTGTCATTAAATGTGACATGCATGTACGTTTCCCCTCAGAAGGGTTACAACTTCGGATGTTCACATAACCTTTCACAGAAGCCATTCTCAAAATCTGTGTTTTGTCTAAGACTTCGGTTTAAGGGTAAATACTTGCAAAATGAATTAAATTCTCATCATCCTTATCTGGCCTTTGTATTTTCGTTGCAATTGTTTGGATGCTAACACACAGCTAAGATGGTAAACATAGTAAATATTATAGCTGCTATCAACATGTGTTAGCGTTGTCAATGCGAGCATGGTAGCATTTAGCTCAAAGCTTGTCTCTGCCTATGTCGGCCTCTCAATGCCGATAGTGGGACTGTGAACTCTGTACTTAATGTTTTATTTGGCCGTGATTGGGGCATTTAGCCTGATCTGGACTGATATCAGTGAGACATTTAAAATGTGTGCACTCACTCTAGGTATCCTTGTGTGATGCTGGTGAGAACAGTTTAATTAAAAACGTTCATGAGGTAGTTCTAAAGGGGACCTATCATGCAAAATGCACTTTTTGATGACTTTTATACATAAATATGTGTCCCCGGTTTGTCAGGGAACTCACACAGTGTCAGAAAATAAAACCCTCTCTCTTTTCCTCCATACCCAAATCTCTAAAAACGGGGGGACAACGGAGCTGATCCAGATTTGCTGCCGATATGACATCATATCGGAAATGTGGGCTGTTTTACATTTCTGGGTGCATTGAACCTTTAAGACCTATATCCTTTGTTATTAAGATGTAGCGGAATTGTTTTGATAAATAATTATCAGATGGCAAATGTATCCCGTCAGTGAAACGGGTTATAACTTAGCTGGATATTGGTATATCATTTTAATGTAGTTTGTTTGATAATATTTGACTCTGAAAGGTTTCAGGTTGCCTGCCCTGCTGACAAGTGTTACAGACTGTTACATAAAATGAATAAAGATTACTCTTAACTGATTTTCTGCTATTCCTCTCTTCCAGTGGAGGGTCTGCGGGATGAGGAAATGATCCGCAGTGGTAGTCGAGAGCAGAAGAAGAAGATGTTGCCAGGCGGATCGGGGTCTGGAGACCTGGACGATGTGACGGAGGCTCTTATTGGACGGCCAACAGTTCTGTATCCGGACCCCACCAACAACCCCGCTGCTGCTGCTCCGACTACAGGTAGTGCATGTTAGTAGATAATAACACTACTTGCCACACATCTCTGTAAAATTACAGTATGGTTTGGCCTATTTAAAGCTAATGCACTTGCAATATTCCTTCCATTGTGGATTCTTACTCACTATAATTGCACTTGTTGAAAGATAAAAGCATCAGCGCAATGGAAGGTGATGTAATGTAATGCACAACTAACCCCGTACATGGTAATGTCCTCAGGGCTTGAGTGTGAAAGGAATTATGATTAAATAGCAACATGGGATAGTGGAATGGATCTATCATCTAACGCAGACCTGGGCACTGTACGGCCCCCGGGCCACATACGGCCCTTTGGTTGACTCTGACCGACCCGTGTAAGGTTAATTGGAAATTACAAAATAAACATATTTTCTAATTTTACCTCATGCATGGACTAAAGCTGCAATGCTTTTATTTTGAAGTTGTTTTTTATTCACGTACATAATGACGCAATACGTCAAATCAAGACGTGCGCGTTATTGGATAATTGTCACAAGACGACTTTAGCGCTCAAAAATGTCAGCTGATGCTAAAAAAAGAAAGGTAGATGCCGAATGTAGGGGTTTCAACAAAAATTGGACTGCTAAGTATTTATTTACTGAAGTCGGAGGTAAAGCCGTGTGTTTAGTTTGCGGGGAGCAGATCGCCGTGTTCAAGGACTACAATTTGAGTCGGCATTACGAGACGAAACACGCGGAGAAATACAAAAACTTGACTGATGCTGAAAGGGCGCGCACATCGAACGCTTTGCTAGCTAAGCTGCAAAAGCAGCAAGGCTTTTTTACCAAGCTTCACACATCCAAGGATGCAGCAACCAAGACCAGCTTCGTGATATCCCACAAAATAGCTAAACACAGTAAGCCATTCTCAGAGGGGGAGTTTGTCAAAGAGTGCTTAGTGGACTCTGCAGCACTAATATGCCCTGAAAAAAAAGAAGCCTTTGAGGCAAAGTCCCGCTGCCAGGCGAACCGTGACGAGAACGGATCTCGAGACACTTGCCGGGATGCTGGAGCTGCAGCTTCAGACTGCAACATGGAAGTGGGCAAGTTTCTGAACTTTATCGGTGCTATCCTCCTTGGCTTTGGGCAACGAGATCGCTGTCGATGTCGGACGTGGACGCCTCGAACGACGACAGCGTGAAATCGGCCGCTACTTTGTCCGCGTGGGATAACGCCGGACTTCAAGATTTACGCGGAGGAGCTGGCAGCCAATGGCGGGCGATGAAAGGGAGCCGACGACAGGGAGCGAATCTGTTCACGGAGGTAAAATGCGTGCATCCGGACACGCGGACTGGAATGGGAGCAACCGACTGGCAGTGTCACAACAGACGGTTGTCCCAAATCGTAGCTAGTAAAATGTTGGACTTTTGAAAACCATATGGCAGCGAGCATACAAGAGACTGAAATCGACCGCAGACAGAAATTGTATTTGGCATGGCGCATTATACACCGCGAACTGGTTG